ACTACCGTCTCCTCTTAGAAACACTTCATGTCTAAAAACTTTTAAGAAAGACCTTAAGACTCATTTGTTTAAACTAGCTTTTGAATTATAATTTATATATATTTTACAGCGCTTAGAGCCGACTTGTATAGGCGCTATATAAATCATATTATATTATTATTATATTATATACAGTATTCGTGTCCGTGTTGTATCCAATATACAAACTCTCGGCTACGCATAGCCACTCATACTGTATGTAATATACAGTATGAGTGGCCGTGTTGTATCAGATACACAACCACGATAACTACGAGGCGTAGCCGAGTTAGTAATTTCTAGCGGGGTGAGCTCTTTAGGTACACCTCACTTTAAAAAATGTTTTCTCCAAAATTTTCTCCAAAATTTGGATAGACGAGCTGTAGAAATTTCACTACCATTTAGATGTTTCTAAAGCGCGATGTTTCATATGCTTCAAATTTTGGATCGAATTTTCAAGCGGCGTCATAACTTTTTTTCTGCCCAAGACTTTCBATCCAAATTTATACACAGGCTGCAATAGTACTAGATGATAAGATTCTGAAACTTTCAGAAAAATCGTACCTGGGGATGAGGAGAAAAAAGCCAAAAACTAAAAATAGCACTGTTTGATTTTCGGCCCTAATAGGCTAAACATATAAAAAATCTTAAAATAAAATACACTGTTAGAATCTAGTATAATCCAAGCACATTATATGAAAAATACAATTAAATTGACGCAATAGTTTTGCGAAGGGAGCGAGAACAAAATTGTCCAAAATTCGCTCTTAATTAGTTTGGTTCCACCTTATTAACTATAATTATAGCTGGCATGTAAATAGTAAAAATTGCGTTAAACCTGAATTTMTTTGAATATTAAATCATTGGACATCTTTGATGAACAGCAAATAAGGAGTTTATGTTTGATTTGGTAAGGATGCGTTAAGAACGACTAGTTACAATAAAAGGATAAGTGATAATGAACTTTTAAACTTATAGACATACAGGTACTCTTCGCCGTTTCAAAAACATCTGTTAGATAGAGTTAATGTTTCGTTTATTGACGAAATGTTACAAGCTACGGTYTCAGAACTAATTCTCTTCGCGAGTTATATACGAGTTGGTTCGAAATCTAAAAAATGCGAAGCAAAATAAAGCGTTACTTGTGTAGAAAAATATATATAAAGTTTGAGCGATCTGACTTACCCGGTAGCTTGCTCTGAAACTCGACGAACTGAATTTAAATTAGCGTCACTTATATACAAATGCGACTTAATCCGAGGCAAGCTACTCGTGCGTGCGTGCAGACAGGAATCTATTATTAAATTCATGCTTTTCGCGCATAACGAAACACTCCCCCCCCGGCCTAAATAAAGAATCTTATCTTAACCTTAATTCTTGGAAAAACACTTAATTCTAACTAAACAAGATGCATATTCAATAAATAATTCTTATCTAAAGTTCAAACTAGGTCTTTCTAGTGTCCTTCTTTTCTTCAT